ACTCGGCAAGGTTGTCAACCCGCGGGTTGACCCACGGGTCGACCCAATTTGACCCTGACCCGGTGAGAACTGCGCCGCCGGGCCGACCGCTATAAGGTACCGGGTTGGAGGTCAAATTGTGTCATTTTTTTCTTTAGTTTGCGAAATGCGCCTATTTTCCAATTTTTCTTTTCGCCTAACTCAATCTTTGGAATACTAAGGTGAACATTTGAATATTTATGTTATATAAGTGTGTGTGAATTTTCACTATATATTGGATCTAAGTACAATATGTTATTTTGGTGTAATTATATATGTTATAACTCATATGTTAGATAAGATTTGATATAATTTATGAGAATAAGTACAATATAATGACTCTTTCTATATTTCCGGGCCAAACCGGGCTAAAACGGTTGACCCATTAATCCTTGACCCACTAGCTCGACCGGGTCCGGGTCAACCCGCGGGTTGACAACCTTGCAACTCGGTAAACATCCTTTTTTTTTTAGATCCAACTGCTGGATGGTAAACAAGTAACAACCGGTTGGGGAAAATAAAAATCAAAGCATAAGTAATTAATTTTTACCGCGTAAATAATATCCAATTAATCCAATTTACAGTGCCTCATCACGCAATAACCTCGAATTAGAAATGCAGGGATCCGATGATCGATTAATTCGTTATCAATTTTTTTTTTTTTTTTTTTTTTTGCATAAAGGGAGGCTGGCCGCCAAGAAGAGGGGGTTACAGGTGAGAGGCTGAAAGAGAAGAGGTGGTGGCGGGTGGCACAATCCGCCTTTGGAAAGTAACTCCCTGCACATCATCTCGCAGAAAGGGGATCAAACCCGATGGTGGATGCACAAACTCATGTACGCCGTAGGGATAGACGAGACTGTGCTTCGAGAGCCAGTCCGCGACTCTATTCCCTTCGCGGTATACATGAGAGATGCGCACCAACCAGTCTCTACTAATTCTTCTGCGAATAGAGGAGAGCAGAGTAGCATAGGGGTGAACTGCATCCTGCCTGTCGTGAATCAAATGAATAGCAAGCTGGGAATCCGATTCGATCATAACCGTCCGGCATCCCGCCTTCCAGGCCAGCTCCAGACCATAGTAGAAGGCCCAAAGCTCTGCCAAGACCGCTGATGCCTCTCCTATCTTGGCCACGAAACCAGAGATCCATTGCCCAGCCTCGTCCCTCAACACACCACCAGCCCCTGCCAACCCGGGGTTGCCATTCGAAGCTCCATCGAGATTAAGCTTCATCCATCCTCTCAACGGAGGAGTCCAAGAGATGTCCACCATCACCCTGCTATTCAGACCACCCCTTGAGGTAGGCAGCAGCGTCGGGGCTGTCCAGGCAGAGTGCCAAAGTTTGGCCTTCGCCACAATAGCATGAGCTAGAGATGGGGGAGTGAGGGTGGAGGAGATGCCTTTGAAGCAAAAGTCGTTCCTGTTCTTCCAAATGATCCAAGCGGCAATGCTGAAAAAAGTCGGCCACGGCACTCCCTGATACTCAGTCTCTTCCTCGGTCAGGTTGTCCCGAAGCCAATCCTCACCTGCAGCAGTAAAGAAACGTTGCTGCTTGTTGTGGGGAACAAACCTGGTCCAAGCAAAGCTCGCGGGAGGGCAATCCCTCAGGATGTGGACAATGGACTCCACCTGTCCATTACATCGGGCGCAGGCCGGAGAGGCAGTAAGCTTCCTAGAGAAACGCAGCGCATTGGTCGCGAGCCTCCCTAGCGAAGTAAGCCATATGAAGCACCGAATACGCTCAGGAACGGGTAGGCTCCAAATTAGCTTCCAAGTCTTGTCATCCCCATTCGCAGCAGGCGGCAGCAGCGACTCATAGGCAGTCTTAGTAGAAAATTCACCATTTGAAGATAGTGTCCAGAAAAGCGTATCTTCACCACTCGCGAATTTGTCCACCGCCACCCCTGTGATCTTGTCTTGAATTGCTGCGGGGAGTAAATTAGCAAATCTATCCATGTCCCAGAAGCCATCCTCATCGATCAAATCCGCCACCTTCTCGTTCATTCGTTCTCCAGGAATGTCCTCCAACACCAGGTTCTTCAGAGGATCCTGCAAAATCCAAGAATCATGCCAGAATTTAGTAGATTTACCATTCCTAATATTCCACGCACAACCACCTTTTAGCAGTGTGGACGCTGCAGAAAGGCTTCGCCAGGTAAAGGAACTTCCCTGAATTGGTCGAAGCAGATCCAGGTTCTCCTTGGAATTCCCGTACTTGGCTTTCACAACTTGAGTCCACAGCGTCTCCTTCTCTTTCATCAGCCTCCACCCACTTTTTGCTAGTAGCGCCATGTTCGCTCTCCGAACAGAGCGAAGACCCGCTCCGCCTTGGTTCTTGGGTAGCACCATTTTGTCCCAGGCCACCAGGTGAAGGCGTGATTTGTTCTCTTCCTCACCCCAAACAAAGTCTCTGTTAATCCGGTCGAGAGAGGCACAAACTCCTTTGGGAATAAGCTCAGTGTGCATATGATATGTTGGGAGTGAGGCAATGACCGATCTGGAGACAGTTAGTCTGGCAGCAAGGGACAACTTCCTAGCCTTCCAAGGGGCAAGCTTCTTCTGGACACGCAAGAGCAGATTTTGATACCGCCCTTTAGTCACACGGCTATGAATGGTCTCGATGCCCAGGTACCTCCCGATTTCAGGCTTCAGCGGAATTGCAGCCCTTTCACTAAGCAGAGTAGCTTTTGACCTGTCAACATTAGGAGAAACAAACATCAAAGATTTAGCGTAGTTGACCCTCTGTCCAGAGCTGGCACAAAAGTCGTCTAAGCACTCCTTGATAATCCTGATCTGTCTGGTTTCCGCTTCAGCAAAGAGAAGCAAATCATCTGCAAAAAAAAGGTGAGTGAGTGGAGGCCCGTCCTTAGTAAGTTTAATGGGCTTCCATTTTTTACTGAGAAAGGCCTCATCAATCTTATGAGAAAGACGTTCCATGCAGAGCACAAAGAGGTAAGGGGAAAGAGGGTCTCCCTGGCGAACTCCGCGAGTAGGGGTGATGGCCTCCAAAAGAGAGCCGTTCCAGAGAACCCGCATGTTATTCTGCTCCACACAGTACATGATGCACCTGATCCAAGAGCTAGGTAACCCAACTTCTTTGAGTGTGTCCCTCAAAAAGTCCCATCGGAGCATATCATAGGCCTTCTCAAGATCCATCTTAAGGATGAGCCCCCCTTTCTTCCCTTTCCTCTTTCGCAAAGTATGGAGGACTTCCTGCACAATGATGACATTGTCTGTAGTTTGTCTGCCAGGGATAAAGTTGCTTTGACGAGGGGAGACAAGTTTCCGCATGATCGGCTTCAGTCTGCTAGTGATCGCTTTAGTAATGGCCTTGAGGCAAACATTGTTAAGAGAGATAGGGCGGAGTTGAGACACAAACTCTGGCTGCTCGACCTTGGGGATAAGCACCACAGTAGATTCCGTCACCTCCTTCGGCAAAACCCCGGTGGAGAAGAAAGACAGAGCCATATCCGTAAGGGACTTCCCCACTATACTCCACGTTTTTTGATAAAACGCCGCATGAAACCCGTCAGGACCAGGAGCCTGAAAAGGTTTCATATCGAAGATAGCCTTATGGATGTCCATTATGGTGAAGGGCCGGAGCATACTGAGAAGATCCTCCTGGGCAATGCGCGGGAAGGCATTCTTTGGCATCCTGTCTTCGTACAAGGAATCATCCTGCAGATAGAGATTCGAGTAAAAAGCAAAGACCATAGAGGCTAGGTCCTGCGGATCCTCTACCCAGTTACCCTCTTCATCGAGCAGAGCTTTGATCATGTTCCTCCGTCTCCTGATATTGGTCTGGTGATGAAAGTAGCTAGTGTTACGTTCTACAAATTTCACCCAGTTCTCCCTTGATCTTTGAAACCACAAAAGCTCCTCTTGCTCAAGCACACTATCAAGTTCAGCTTCTAGTTTGGAGTGCAGCTTGGCCAGCCCTGGGTGGAAAGTATTGGATAAGCGTAGCTCAACCCCACGAAGGCGCCCGAGAAGTCTCCTCTTACGCTGCTGGATGTTCCCAAACACGTTAGCGTTCCAATCTTGAAGCACAGATCCGAGCTTAAGAAGGGCACTCGGCAGGGATGCCTCCTGGTCCCAGGAGCCTGCAATAGTATCAATGAAAGAGTTATGGGTCATCCAAGCTGCCTCAAATCTAAAAGCACGAGAGGGAGGAGGAGAAGGCCGGGTGGCAATGGTGGTAAGGATAGGATTATGATCCGAGTTGAGCCGGGGCAAATGGAGCACAGAACTGTTAGGAAAAGCAGCATTCCAGGAGATGTTACAGAGGGATCTGTCAATTCTGCTGGCTTTGTAGGAGCTTGTCTTTTCTCCCCTCATCCAAGTGAACTTGGGGCCCGAGAAACCAAGGTCAACAAGCTCTGCTGAATTGATCCGATCGTTAAAAACTCGACATCGCCGGATTGCTGCCCCCGAGGCCGCGCCTGATTTTTCTGAGGGGTCCCGAATTGCGTTGAAGTCTCCAGTAAGTAACCATGGGATGCTGATGGCTTTGCTCTGCTCTATAATGTTATCCCAGAGGCTCTGCTGTTTACTGTAGTCGGGGGAGGCGTAAACAGCAGTGAGAATCCAATCGGCGGCATTGCTTTGGGAGACACGAATTGTCACATGTTGCGAGCAGGCCGAGAGCAGATGAAGGGAGAAGCAATGGGCGTTCCAAAACACCCAGATTCCACCACTGCGCCCCTCAGCCTCAACCCGTATGACGTCGGGGAACCCCATACGATCGCAGACTTTGTTCGCAACACTGCCGCTAACCTGAGGTTCAAGCAAAATAACAAAATCAGGTTTCTGAACTTGTAAAACTAGCCTAAGAGCACGAGCAAAGGCTTTATTGCCAGCTCCGCCCGCATTCCAAGCTAGGATTTTAATCTGGCGTAAATTAGACATAATCATAAAAAAGAAGAGAGAAACAGAGGCTAAGAAGAAGTAGAAAGCGAGGGGTCGGAAGGAAGGAAAACACCGGGTTAAAGCGATGGCGGTGAGGCCACTGTCTCTTCCAGGTCGTGGGTTTGAAGATCCCCCGCCGCCACTTCACCCACCCCTGAATTAGTCTCCACATTCGTTTTCTGCGCTGCACTTGTCCAGGCATTTATTTCTTGGAGGGTAAGGGCCGCTAGGCGATTCTTTGACCTGCTCTTCCGATCTTTAATGGGTGACCACACCTGCAGGGCTTTCATAGCTTGCTGCTTCACCGGCGTTCCCTTCTTCACCTTGCGGTCGGAGTTGCCCTTGTTATTGGTACGCTTTCCGGCCGTCGGCTTCCTCACGTCAGAGTGTTGCGAGTGTTTGGGGGAGCCTTGGATCGAAATGATTTGGATATTTGTGCCTTTATCGCTTAAAACGGTGTGGATAGGGGGCGGTGAAGTCTGGAGCTTAAATGGGCTGGTTGGATTCTTCAATTCGGCCGGCCTCAAGTCCAGGTCCATACGGCTGGCAATTGAACTTCGTTTTTCAGGAGAGGAAGCTGACGTAGAGGCCTTGTTATACTCCGAGGCAGGCCGAGGCCCACTCATCTTGGTGCCATTCTGACTTGGGCCAGAGCCCAAGATTCCTTTGTTAGAACCATTATCCTCCCGCGCAATCGCTTTTCCCTTGCCTTTCTCTTTCATCTCTGGCGAGCCATTAGTCCCTTCCTTTTGTGAAGAGTTTCCTTTTTTTTCATTGCTAGAAGCCCGTTGTGATCCCAGAGCTTTTGGGGCCGCAGTATTGCTAGGAGGATCACCACTTTCCTTAATTCTAATCCCATTCTTACCATTCATGGGGAGCTGTTTGGGGCTTGATTGTCCTGACTCACCTTCCAGCTTACCTTTTTTATGCAGATCCCTGGAATTACGTCGGCTCTTTTTGGTAACTAACATCCATGGCCCGAAACCAGGGTTGGAATCATCCGTAACAGTGGTCGCCGGCGCCGGAGCCTGAGAGTCAACTCCGACAATTGCCAACTGCTTCAACTCCCCTTCCATTCGAAGAGCTGGACAGTCCGAGGAGTTGTGGCCGATCTTCCCGCACTCGAAACAGACTGCCGGAAGGTTTTCATACTCAACTTTCTGCCATGCTCCATCCAACCAGATACGAGGAACTAACGGTTTTGACATGTCGACTTCCACTGCTAGCCGCGCAAATTTCCTTCGTTGTCCGTTGAGTGTGTGATAGTCAAGTTTGATGGTGCGTCCGATGAGATTACCCAGCGACATCAGAACCTCCTTATGGTAGAAATGAACCTTCAGCGCCGGTAATTGCACCCAGACAATTATAGACTTAGGAAGGGGATCGTGAACCCCAAAGTTCGGTGTCCATTGCTGAACAGCCAGATAATGATCGAAGATGACCCACGGTCCGTCGGTGAGGGCTTTGAAATAGTCCTGCTCGTTGGCGAGTTGAACTAGGTAGCAAGCATCATCTAAATCCATAACTTCCATCGAGCCAATTGGCCGCCACAGAGATCTGAGGCGGGAACAGAGGGTGGTGAATCCGATGCGTAGGCATAAGAGACGAACAACAAGTGTCTTCTGCCATGGAGCACAAAGTCGTCCTTTAAAATTCTTTGAAAGCATCAGCGACGGCTCTCCATTGAATTTTCCAGGCACAAGGTCGTGTTCACCTACAGGGGTCCATTCTGGGGTGACCACCGAAATCTGTTGCCCACCTCCAGCCACCGCTTTGGCGTATGAGACGGGTTGCTGGTTCGGTGTCGGTTGCATACCAACAGAGGAGACTCCTCCCATTACAAGATTTGTCTGGGGTTCCTGCAATGGGCCTGAATCCTGGTTCGCTTGCCGTCCTTCGATCTCAGCCACGACGGCGGAGCTTCCAACCAAAAGCCGAGCACTGTTGGCCGTGGGGTCGACCGCCATCGAGTCACCGCTTGGTTCAAGACCTTGGGTCACGTGATTCGTAGGTTGATTCTGGAGCAGAGTAACCGTCGGGGGATACTATGGACGCCCGGAGGGGGAGAGGGCCACGGCCACCGGCGGGATTTCAGAGAGAGCGTTTGAGGACATTTTCCGTTTTATTATAAGTAAATTCTTTGATAATATTAATTCGTTATCAAATATCGAACGATTGTAGATCTTGAAAGTGATTATTTACTAGTACTAATTAATATCAAATCTGTTTAGTATCATAGTTTGTGATTAAAATTCCTAAAATGGAAACTTTCACAGTTCAGCAATCCACGTTAATGAAGCAGAAGAATCATCATCACCAATGATCATCATATGAATTCCTTTTGAGCACAAAGGCTCAACATCATCAGCTCATCTAGGGGTAAAATTGTAATACAGCCCATAAATGGGTGACATCCTCAACAAGGAGGGCATAATTTTCCATGGAATCTTCGTCTAATATATTTACACTCATTTCCCAAACTACCCTTCCGGCTCACTCCGGTATGGCGCTCAACATCGCCGCAAACTTCTTCTCGCTACCGCTGCTGCTTCCCCTCCTCCTACTCCTCCTCCCGCCGGCGGCCGCTGCGGGGGGAGCGGACCCTCGCCGCCGGCACTTCCCCACATCACTCCGACACCCAGATTTCTCGAATTCGATGCCGCCGCCGCCGGCGGAAGTCTTCATCAACGCCGAGCTGGCCTTCACAGCCAATGCGGCCATTTCCTCCGGCTGAAGAGGCCGCCGGAGCCAGGCGACGGGGAGGGCGAAGTAGAGCTGCCCCGGCTGGAGCTCCTCGTCGTCGTCGACGGCCAAAACGGAGTCGTCGAACTCCATCTCGTCGGCGTTGCATATGAAGTGCGGCGCGTGGGTGTCGATCATCCGGAGGACGAACGAGGCCTTCACCGGGTAAGAGAACTCCTGGAGCCTCCCGTCCTGGAGGATCAGCTTCGCCGTCGACGCGCCGCCGCCGACGCGTGTAGAATCGCAAGATCGGCAGTTGCCCATTTTCCGTATTCAAAAATCGGCCGGAATCGATAAAGATCGAGACTTTACCGAAATCTGAGTGATGGGCTCTTGTTGATTTTCCGGTCAAGGGAAAAGCAATTGGTTTGCTGATTTTGTATTTTGGTTTTTTTTGATCGGAGAAGGCTGGAATGGCGAGAGGAGAAATGGGAAGGGAAAGTTATATAGGGAGGGAGAGGGAAAGAGATGCCTCGTGAGATGTGCCGTGGGTGCCACGTAGGAAATTGACGATTTGTCGTGTTTTTTGGAAAGGGAAATTGGAGTTTTATTTTTCCCCATTAATTTTTGTATAATAAGAGATTATGGAGGAGAGATGGGAGGAAGAAGAAGGAGAAGAAAGAACGAATCCATTGCATAGAACAGAGAGCAGTGGAGGAGGAGAGGGAAGATGACAATGCCAGGCTGTATGTTGGTGGAGGACAGGTTGTCTTTTTGTGTACTACTTACTACTCTCACTCACTATGTCGTTACTCACCGAATTTGCCAATTGGTAATTAATTTCGGTTTCGACACGACCCTAACTCCTCGCGTATTATTAATCAAAATAAATGAAGTTTATCTACTGCCGCGATATGGTCGTGCTTTTCAATGTTGTTGACACATGCGATTGTGGGTCTCTAAGATGGTGATGCACCGAGGGTTGTTCTCTATCGATCGAATGAGCGAGTAACTGCATAACCGACGCGAGTCTGTGTGAATTAATCCTGGCGATGTGGGGGTGTTGAAATGCAGATTAATTGATTTGACTAGAATTGGGGAAATCGTGATTATCCAAGTTGTCATATACAAATTGTGTTTTTGGGTCAAAAGGGTTCTCATCAATCTACCAAATGACATGTACCGATTAAGACTTAAGACTTAAGAGTGGATCTCGTCGCTTTTAGTACTGTAATATGATCTGGCATTTCTGAAAAAGAGGACAAGGAAATTAATGGCGTAGATGGGCAAAATTAATTGCCATTGGAGTGGGTGAAAAAGGACCGAGGGAAAAGTTACTGCAGCCTGCAGGGGATATTTACCGGTTCTGAGGTGAATTACAGTGGGAATCTTGGGTAATTAAGAATACGGTATAACCAAATTCAAGTACCTTTCTCGCTTTGCTTTCTCTCGGTATATAAATTAATCAAGCTTAATAAAATTAATTAATCACAATACTTTTCTTAAAGACCGCATAATTAAGCCTAGCTACTTTGAACCCTGTGGATCATGATGGTCACTATATATATATATGCGTGTATCTCCCTTGGTTGCAGTCACCTTCACACTCCCGTTCTCATACTAAAAGATTGCGACTTTAATTTGGTGCGTACTAATATTAATCAGATTAGGCTTGAGCTCTCTAATTCACATTAAACGTAAAGTAATTCCAAATCGAGTGCAATGCATGTCGTTTTATCACTTGTCCCGTTTGACCATAGTACATGCATGTGTTAACTTCGATAGCCACATGAAAGTGCTGAAAATCTTAATTTTTTAGTTGACACGTCCTACATAAAACGAGAAAAATGGGTCATCCTTGCGTAGTGGACATGTTAATATTTTTTTTGTATCGTTCCAATTTTATGGGATTTTCTCGGATGGACTTCCACATATTGTTAGGATTGTATATCTGCAGAATTACTACTCAGGCGACAATAACTCCAGTAAGCCTGAGCCCTATCTATCAAAAAGTCTGGAATTTATACAAATTTGCCATACTTTGTGCTCTAATCAACTGTAAATATTGAAATTCATCAAAATTCGAAACACGCAGATTTTTCAATCAAATTAAACTTTAATACCATGTGAAGCCAATTAATGAATTAAACCTAATAATAACTGGAGGAGAACAATAATATATTTTTTATACCAATTGATAAATCACCTATGGTTTTCGCGATGATTTCCTATATTTTTTTGATAAGTGAACGTGAAAACTGGTGTTTGAGAAGAGGGCTTTTTCCATTGTTGTAGATAGGGAAACAATAAATGGGAGTATTTGCATTTATATAACTTTGCATGCAAATATATAAAATAGATTTCGAGAAAGGTGGCGGAGAAGCAGTCCACGGTAGCTCTGCTTCAAAAGCATCATTATTTATTATCAAGATGGACCGGGTTCGGGCCGGAGTTGAACCGAATTAAAGTAACGACGAACAAAAGCCACCTATATATGCCAGGAAGCAGGAGAACTGAAAACGTGGCACGACGATATGGTGCATGGCGAGTCGAGAAAAGATACGTGGAGAATACAAAAGGAAAAAGAAGAAGGCTACGACGACAAAAAAAAAAGGCAAGATTTTCAGAAATTAAAATAATTTTTCTGACGAATAATAATTGATTGAAACAAAACAAAACTGAAAAAGCACGAACAAGGCGACAAGGGAGGGAAAGGAGACGTAATAAAAACCGATGGTGGCTTTTTACAAACTCGAATCGTCAATTTCTTGTGCTATAAATAATATAAGTGAATCCCCCCAACCAGCCATCATCACTCCTTTAAGTCTGGGCTCGATTTCAGAGCTTTTGTCCACTTCTCCTCCATTTTTGTTTTTTACTGGTTCGTGATCGAAATTCTGTGATCGTGTCCGAGTTGAGAAAAAACTGTTGTGTGTTACTAAACGATCGTGAATTATGATAGGATGTGACGTTCGAATCGTAGTAAGATTAGTTGTACTTTTATATGATCCGGTTGAAAACAATCTTTTTTTGTAACGATCGGGAATTTGGATGTCAGTACCTTTTGTATGTTTGTTAATTTTCGATCCGTTCATTAGAAAACATTCCGTACGTTTTACGTAATGTTTGGAGAAGCTCTTGAACTCTTGTTCGAATTGTTTTTGGTTGTTTGATCATGTGTGCTTAATGCTTGTTATTTGTACGTGTGTGGGGGGACCCTAGAGATAAAAATATTTTATAATAGATTTAATTTAAAATGAATCGAGAATGATATATATAGGATTAATGGGGCTTTTTCATTTTGTTAATATTGTGTTACGTTTTTTTTCTTTTATAATTATTTGGTGGCTGTCAATTGTAATTTTTTTTAAATACAAAAGATCGCTGGTATATATTACCGAGGAAAGCAATTATATAGAGAAAGTCACACAACCGGAAAATACTCATGAAATGGATTCGAATCCAAATAAAGAAGGGGGAAAAACAAAAAAAAAAAAAAATTCTTCATACTATCAAATGGACAACCCTATTACTGTTACGTCAAACAAATCGAGCAAATACTAAACTAGCTAAAAGACATCACAAAAATTCAGGATATCCTCAATCACCGTCCCGCGGCAGATGC